CACAGCGTGGTAACGACTGCCACTTCCCATCTTTGCACACCATTTCTTCTGCTTCCTGAATTAGGTAACCTTCTTGGCAAAGAACAGACACCTTCTCTCCATCCTGGTAATTCACTGTAGTTTTCATATCTCGAGCATTAGGAATCTGAGGTGGAGGTGGGCATATTTGTACTGGTACTCCTAAAAAAAATGAGAATAGATTTCTTGATTAAAAATTATAATTTAAAACTATTAACTATATAATTTTGAATAAATAGAAAATTCAGATAACTGTTTTATGAATGAACAATTGTATAATAATTATGCTCTGTGCTTACCATTGTTATACTTATTAGCTTGTGTAGCATATTACATTATCATCTTTGGTTTATATTCTTATTATTTCCCTTTTAGTTTTTTTTTAAGAGTCTTTTGCCTTAGGTCATGTGCACTTGCCGAAAAGAGAGACAGAGACAGAAACAGTGTGAGGAAAAGAGAGAGATCACCCACTGGGGGGATGGCCACGCGACAATCCCTTCTCCTCCTTTCTTCTTCCAGGATCTTGGGCACACACATACACATGACAGATGTGAGTTTCAAGCTACTGGGTCTGGGATTTGAACCATAGGCAACTGTGTGGAAGTCCACTGAAGTAACCACTATACCATCAGCTAATCCTCTCATGTAGATTTTTAAATTTATTCTCTCTTTAAATAATCTTGCCTAATTCATCAAAACCTATTTTTAATTATTTCTAACCACTATGATTTTTTTAAGAATTAATCAATTTGTTTTAGATTTCTGTCAGAGGGTGTGTGCACTCTGAAAAGAGAGACAGAGTGAAGGAAGTGAAAAAATCACCTTCCAGGAGAAGCAATCCCCACTCCTCCATTCTCCTCTCAAGATTTTGGACATGCACACACCCATTGTGCCTCCCAGACAGCTGAGTCCTAGACTCAAATTGTGGTGCCAGTCATAAGGGACCCAGCTCTTCGACCCCACCACCACCTGCTGATCCAAGGTTTTAACCAAATCAGATACTCTAATAGCAAGGATTAAATAAAAACTGATTATTTTCTGAGTTATAAATGATTCATTTTATTGTTGAATTGAAACTCTCACAAGATATGTCAATGGAAGATGATTAGCCCTTTTGGATGGAAAGTTCCATAGATGTCTGTTTAGTCCATTTGATTTATGATATCATTTAGATCCTTTATCTCTTTACATATTTTTGGTCTTATTTAAATTTATTTGTTTACATTCATTCACTGTACATCATTACAGCATACAAAATGAGATTTTCCATCCAGAGTACACTGTATATTGTCTCAATCAAGCACATCAACATACATGTTATTGTCAGCAAATAATTTTCCATTTCTTGTTTCAAGTATGATTTGCTTTTTTTCCCCCATGTTTGATTCCCTATCTCTTACTCTCCGTCATTTCCCACGCTCCTCCCACACTGCCTCTAGTATCTATGTTTGCTTTCTATACTGT